GACAGCTGGTTTTCTTAGCATATTCACGTCTGCGTATTTATCAGAGAAAAGCCCTCCAGGACAACAGTGTTTATTGCAGGATTATTTCTGTGAACACAGGGAAGACAGAACTCACTGAGTAACAGTGTTTCTACCCTTATATATTTTTTCTTAAAATGTGAACCAAGATGAACCCAGTTTTATTTTCTTTAGCATGGATGACTCATGAAGGGAAAAAAACTTACATATATAATTTTTTTTCTTTTAAGAAAAAAACCCAGAACCTTCTGATCCACATTCATGTGTAGTATGCTGACACACATTTAAAACACTAATATAGAAATGAGCTGTTGAATCCTGCACTGACTGTCTGGATTTAGAGTCTAATGACTTTTAATAAACAGAAAACAAAGATGTGATGGACAGTTTTATTAAAAATATCATTCACATATGAATATCTAATATACTTCCACTAGAAAGGCAATTTTGAACAAGCAAGATGCTTTCTACCAACAGGTTTTGAGATGTTATGAATAACATGTGAGATGTGACAGAGACATAAAGGGTAAATATCCCAGCAGCTCCTCGTTGTGCCAAAGAGTGCAGAAACAGCCTCAGAATGCATCTGTGCCTACTTAGCTCAGCTGTATGACCCTCCACCCAAAGCACAGCAGCTATCAGTGAAGGATGGAAGAGCATCCTGCAACAAGTCCCACACCCTGAGGTAGGAGGAGGTGAAGGATGAGCTGTAGACACACATTCATGAATGCTGATGAGCACCATCCTCTCAGGCTGTGTGGTCAGCCTGTGCAGTTTCTCAGCTTACCACTTCCTCCAGAAGTGTGCAAAAACTGTTTTCTACGATACTAGAGTAAAAATGGTAGGTTTTCTTCAAATAAATAAGAAAATCATTATGGGCTTAAGGCATCAATACAAATCATAAATATCTCATGTTTCATTTTAACTTGATCTAATTTTTGAAATAACTGAAAGCAATTGTTATTGGCATCTATATGCTTACTGATGCAGCGCAACAAAGAAAAAGAAAAATTCTTCAAATTATAAAATGAAAGTTTTTTAAGTGACTGATTTCAATTTAAGGAACCATTAACTAAAAGTTACTGTTAATGTGTTTCGAACAATTAGTATTGAAATGAATGTTTTCAAATTAGCAAGTTTTAATGAAAGAATTAAACCAGGTTATGAATAGTTATTGCTGAGATTTTTATAAATTAACACAAACTCTTCCTGTCCCCAAGTGTGGGGTTGGTTGTTTTACTGTAAGAACTGGACTTGACACTCTGCAGCCAGATATCACACCGTAATACTTCTCTACTGCATTTCTACCCCCTGCTTTAATATGTGAGCTTTTTTAAAGCCAACCCATGTACTAATGTCTTCGCCCCAAACCATAAAAGGTGGACATTTCCCTCATTCTGGAAATCTCTTCCAAAGTCTATGACAAAGTGCAGTCAAAGTCTTGCTAGTATTATGTTTGCTATACATCTAAAACCAGAGCAATCATGCTTTACAAAAACCCTTCAAAGCAAGAAAACTATATTCATATTGCTAAGACTTAAATTCGCTGACAAGATCTGTGGGTATGCATCATTTTTAGAAAATGCAATGTGGGAATGCATGTTTATATGGCAAGGCACAAAAGCAATGAAACCTCTTGGGAAAGCAGGAGATAACTCACGTTACACAAACAGGTCCTTTGCTCTTATTTTTCTACAAAGCTGACATGTTATTTCATATGTCAGGAAAATGCTATTCCTGTTTGCTTGTTCTTCCTAAGGTGAACAGATTTTAGTATTAGCAAAATAATTGTGGGAATTCGGTATTTTTCCTGTTTTGTTGAGTACTTGGGGATGTTATGTTGGGAACTATCAACTACTACTTAGTTCACTTCAAAATCTGCTGCATAAAAAAAATACATTGGTAATTTGCTTACATTGCTTTTGTAGATACAATTACTGCTAGCAGCAGGAAAGAACTTTTATAAGCAGAACACAATTCAAATGTAACATGCCATGGACTCAAGTCATTAAACTAATCCTCAGGGCTTCTTGAGGCTTTTTGTACTTTTGGCAAAAAGTATAAAGAAGTATGCATTGTTGCTTCAGTTCCCAAACATTGGAAAGTTAAATATCTAGACTGTCAGCCCCTGCTAAACAGAGCAGAGATTGGTTTTGGGAAAAGAACAAGAGATGACTACATCTTTTGTTATTAAAGTGCAATTGAACAAATATTAGAAGCATACCCATACATTTTTTCATGGCACATAAAAAAGTAGCCAAGAGAACTAAGGGAGGTGCAACAGCTCACAAGCAGCTCTGGTATTACAGGTTACCAGTACCTAGATACTGTGATGAAATTGAGTTAGATGAGTGAAGTATCTTGACTTTGATACATCAGTAATGTGCCATGGTGTGGCATGGAACTCCAGTGTTTACTGGCATGATTTTAACATGACTACATAAATGATGAAGCCATAAATACATCAGACATGTCAGATATGTACCGACACTCCTCAAATATTTTTCTGCTGTGTCACTCTACATCACACATCTAACATGAGATATTCTTTAGGGCTCTGAGAGAAAATGCAATACTTTTAGGAAGAAAAAGACTTCCTTTGTATTACTACTCTGCTTGGTATCAAGAGGTTAACACCTTTTTAAAGATACTATTGAAAGTGGGAAAATAAGCAATGCATTCATTAGCTCATGGGTCACTTAGACAGACATACCTGGGTGGCATGAAATACACTTAAACATCAATATCTGACTACAACTGAAAATACAATGGTGACTAATGGCAGCCCATTTGCTTTTAGAAGAGCTTAGAAGAAGAATCCTTTGAAACATTGAAGGATAATTACATGTTGGACTACAATTATTCCCTCAACTAATGCTGACAAAAAGTAGTGAATTGATATAAAATATGAAAATGCAAAAGCTACTAAATATCATGGAGTTGGAAGTGACCCACAAGGATCATCAAGTCCAACTCCTGGCCCTGCACAGGACACTGCAACAATCCCACCATGTGCCTGAGACTGTTGTCTAAAAGCTCCCTGAGCTCTCTCAGCCTTGGGGCCATGACCACTTCCCTGAAGAGACTATTCCACTGCCTGACCACCCTCTGGGGGAAGAACCTTTCCTAATATCCAAACTAAACCTTCCCTGACACAGCTCTAGCCATTCCCTCAGGTCCTGTCACTGGTCACACAGAGAGCAGAGATCAGTGCTGCCCCTCATGAGGAATTATTGAATATTTTGATTTGTACTCTGTGAAACTACATAAGCTCAGAGTATGAAGCCAAGGACTTTTTGTGCACCCTGACAGTCACAGCCCAGCCCTGGGCCTATTGAGTTTATCAGAAACACTGTCCGTTCCCAGGGACCAACAGGTGTCTAAGAGCATCTGCTTTTTAACAAGCAGACTTGGAAACTCATTCTTCTTGTCTGAATAACAACCCAAGTGGGATAATATTTTTGCTACTGAATCTTCAAAGAGAGTTCCTGATTGGAACTGTGGCCAGGACAGAAAATTGCTATGACTAAAGCCCACTCTCTAACAACTCTATAAACAGCAGTCCAAAGTGAGACCCTTGGAGCTTTCGATTCCCAGAAGGTCAGAGAACGTTTATGTATCAAACACTGATACCGGATGGCTGTGGAGCCAACCAAAGACTCCCGGTAACATCTAAGGACTGTTGGTATTAACAGCCCTGTGACAGCAGGAAGTGCCTCTGTGTCCCAGGTCCTGAGGCTGCTGCCCTGCTCCCACCTGCCTGGGCCCAGTCCTTGTCCTATGCCCAGGGCCCCGCTCCGATCCTAGTCCCATCCTGGTCACGGCTGCCCAATCCCAGTCCTATGACAAATGCCCAGGCCCCCACTCCTGCATTCACTCTCCATCTTGATCCCAGTCCCAGTCCTATGACCCATGTCCAGGGCCCTGCTCCAATCTCTATCCCAATCTTGCTCCTGTTACCGATATATGCTGTCTGTTTGAACATATTTTCTTAAATAAAGTATCCTAAAGTCTTAGGCCTTTATCTAAATCAAATCCTGGTTTTTGTTGTCTAAACTGCATCCAAGAGTTTATCCAGATCAATGCTCTGTTGAGTAAAATGTCAAGATACCATGTTTCTTCATTCACACAAACTTTATCCTCAAGTTATTATAAAACTGTGGTAGTCAGTATTTCCTATCTTTTCTTCTCTACACAGAAGAATCATCACCAGTTCAGAGGAAAGTCACTGCAGTATTAACCAAAAAAATGACACATCACTCAAACAATGCTGGATCAGTTTGATTGCGATATACCCGAAATGTCTAACATAGTTATTTTTTGGCACATTACAGAACTGAGATACTGAAGGAAAGGAGAAGCATTTAAAACATTGTTAATTCCAGAAAAGGAATAAAAGAAATTTAATGAAAACAGATTGATTTTTAATCATCACCCTTCCATTTTAGGAGTAGAAATTTGTTTCTCAGCAAATCTCTTTGCCAACTAGTAAACAAATCAGTAAGGTTCAACACTCTTAAAATGAAATATTCAGATATTCTTCTGAGAAAAGTAACCTATAAACCTGCAAATTCCTGAAACACAGCTAACAAAGCCCTTTAGCTACTACAACAATACTTTATTCAAATGTATTATGTTTATACAGAGAACTTACCTTCCAAATAGACAAAAAAAAATCCCCCCCCGCAAAAGCTATCAGCTGTACCATAGGAGGCATTCAAAATATACTGCCACAAGAAAACACAGTATAGTTTTCAGAGATTATGATGCTACAAGAATATCAGGCATATACTGAACTAGCTGAAAGAAGATCTGTCATTTCTCCACCACACATACACTTGCAGTAATCACTACAACTTCCAGCAATTTAAAGCAATAGCATGTTATCACCTAGTCAACATTTCTCACATGTATCAGGAAAAAACTGTAAAGTTCAGAAATGAAGTAGAATAAACGTTCCAGAAAAAACCGGTCTCACTCACTGTTCAATACGTGGGGAGAGGTACAGCTTCGGAAAAACCTGAGTAGCTTCTGCATCCTCAAAACTAACAGAGAGAAGTGCAACATCTTCTCCAGGATCTTCATTCACATCCTGTACATAAAAAAACCCAAACCAAACAAAAAATAAAATGGCAAATAACAAAATGAGTACTTATAAGCTGGCAGATAACATCTATTTAGGAGATGCTTAAGTGAGGAATTTAAAGTGTAACCATTGTAAAACAGGTTGCAAATTTATTCTTTCTTATTATATTAGTACTTAAAAGTACTAATTACTTTAGTGATTTCTTTAAAACATAAAAATAAAATTACTGGGCTACCAAGTATGCAGTAGTGTAGTAGCTCTCCTTCAACTAGGTGAACCATAAATTTCAGTAAAGATACAGATTTCATTTTTAATAATTCTTCGTTTAACACTAACATCAGATGCAGATGCCAAAGAATTTTTTAAAATGTTATAATATCACTGAGTTATGACCATAGATTTTATATTTGTTATTTTTCAAAGTAGTATATGGTCAAAATTTTTTGTTGTATTAAAATCCTACTTATCTTTTGGACAAAAAACATTTTTGCAATAACAAATTTATATCTGAAAGTCACTGTCCCCAAGTGTCATGCAAATTAAACCCATGCATTTCTTTCAGCAAAGACTACATACTCCATAAAAGTACTGTAAGAAAAAGAAATGTATGCTAAATACAAGTCAATGCATTCACAGTTGAGGCTTTCTTTATATCAGAATAATCAGTTACAGCTTTGGGATCATCTAGAACAAATTGTTTCTGGTTAGGACCTGACAGCCCTCCAATTCATAAATCACATACAGTACAAACCAGTGTATTTCTGCTATGCACAACTTCATTTAAGCTCTTAACTTCTACGTAGAAAGTATTGTTAGCGGTGCAGTCACCTTCATTGACATCAAATAACATGGTGCCACTTGCTGCTCACAAATAAATCCTTTCACATGTTTGTGCATATGTACACAGCAACTTGCCAAGATGCATTTGTTTTCATCCGTTTTGGAAAAATACGAGAGGAAACAGATAACCTAGCAAATATGTGCTCAAAGCAGGATCAACGTGGTGCAGAGTGCCCTGGTATGCTCTCTCCTACAGGCAGCTGTGAGGAAGGAACATGCAAACCACTTAAATATTGTTAGGAGACCTTGCCCTATCTGGGGAGAAAAAAAAATAAAGTGACTGCTGAATAGTTTCAGGAAGGCAACCTCGTGGCAGTTGAAGCTTTGGCAGGACTGAAACTGTTAAACTCCAGAGAGACTTGCTGCATACCAGCTATTACGTGCAGAACACAACATGCCAAGAAACTTAGTGATAAGCTGCAGGGAAGAATGGGTCTTAAAAAAGCCTAATTGTCTTAGATGAAAAATGAGACAGAGCTGACAGTGTTTTCTTAAATTCTGCCTTGGTGTGCAGCTCACTTCTGACAGCTGAAAGAAAACTGTACTCTCAGAACTGCCTGTGAAACGGTCCCGAGCACACTGTAGCTGGAAATCAGAATAGTTTTAACCTGAATTTGCAGGACAACACTCCATGTGAGTAGTGAGGACAAACAATAGCTGTTGTCCTGTTGGGGTAGGATCAGTTTATGGTTGGGATTATATGACATGGTTCTCTGTAACTGCAATGGACAGGATCTCGTGACCCAATATGTTCCCTTAAGTGTTTTTAAGTGGTACTATCTCCTACACTAGAAGAACCAGTATTTTATATATTTGCATCATTAAGGAAAAAAATTAAATAAGGAATAGCTTTCAATCCTGAAGCTGAGTATGGCATTAACTGGCTTTTCCCCATTAATTTTCTAATTGTCAATCAAATGAAAAGAACTATTAAGACAGATTAAACTAATGATTTAAAAGATTTTATTTTAATAGGTATTCTTCAAGAGATGACAAGTACATATAATGGTTATGTTGACGAGAAGCTCAACGTGACCCAGTGATGTGCACTTGCAGCTCAGAAAGCCAACTGTATCCTGGGCTGGATCAAAAGCAGTGTGACCAGCAGGTTGAGGGAGGTGATTCTCCCCTTCTACTCTGCTCTTGTGACACCCCACCTGGACTACTGTGTCCAGCTTTGAGGTCCCCAAGAAAATAAGGATATGGACCTGTTGGAGTGAGTTTAAAGGAGAGCCATGAAGATGCTCAGAGGGTTGAGAACCTCCCCTGTGAAGACAAGCTGAGGGAGCTGGGGCTGTTCAGCCTGGAGAAGAGAAGGCTCTGAGGAGACCTTATAGCACCTTCCAGAAGCTAAAGGGGGCTATGAGAGAGCTGAGGAGGAAACTTTTCACAAGGGCATGTAGTGATAGGACAAGGGAGAATGGCTTTGCATTGAAAGAGGGTAGGTTTAGATTAGATATAAGGAAGAAATTCTTTGCTTTGAAGGTGGTGAGACACTGGAACAGGTTGCCCAGAGAAGCCGTGGACAGCCCACCCCTGGAAGTGTTTGGTGTCCCAGACTGAATGGGACTTCGAGCAACCTGGTCCTGTGGAAGATGCCCCTGCCCATGGCAGGGGATTGGAACTAGATGATCTCTAAGGTCCCTTCCAACCCAAACCATTCTGTAATTCTGCAACATAATACATCCACTTCTGTGTGTATACAGCTCTTCCAAGACCATATTACTTTGTTTGCAATTCTTTTCAAATAATTTGTTTTTACAGAATAGAATCTACATGCATTTTACAAGCTACATGGACAATAAACCCCTTCTTTAGACTTGCATTTATGCTAAGCTTAAGTAGATGTGCACACACAGTTCGACACCAAGGAGAAGACCAGTTTCTAGAATACTATCAGGTGCTTACTGATCACAGAAAGTCAAAACAAGGAAAAAGAAAACTCCAACTCCAAAACAGACTAGGTGAACACCACTACAGCATCCATTACCACGTACAGTAATATCACATTCTATTTTCTACACTCACTAGTGGCTTCTTTAATATGAAGATTCATGCCAGTGGAAAAAAAACACACAACCACATAAATCATCACTGTATGTGATTTGCATGTTTAAGCTGCAGTAAAATTAAGTGTGTAGTAAGAGCAATAAATTGAGACATGATCTTTTTCCATTTACAAAAATACCACACAACAAACACTACTGCAACTCTTGCTGCCAGCAGAGCACTACATTATGTTCATACAGCTACTGTCCAGTGCAAATGTACATTAAGAAATTGGCATTCTTCTATAACTACCACTTTTCAAATGGATGTATATTTGCAGCCCTGAGAAATGAAAACTGCAACTTAAAAAAGACCCAAACCCCCAGCATTCCTGTAGGTTTTAAAAGATGCAGTGCAGTAACACCATGAAACTGCTTAACCTTATTGCTGAGGTGGTTGCAGATTTACAACAAACTCCCTTCTATCTGTCACCATACCATTTATTCCTTTCAGACTTTGTTACTTTTATTTATGCTTGGTAGAACTGCATTCAACGCTAGTATGTCTGTTAAAACTGCCGTTTATAAAACTAAACCAAAACCACATGTCCTACAGATAAACTGTGGAAAACTTTTCAACTAATAGACCTTTTTGATGTTGTCTGTGCCAGTTACAAATTAACTCCTTGAGCTATCTCTCTCCTGGTCATCTCTAGAAACTTGTCAGTCATTAGGTGAGAAGATGAAGCCTTCTATTACCATGCAATGACATTTGCCCAGAACAGGGGCTGAGATCCTTCCATTACACCAAGAGGTCCAAAGGCAAAGGTTGTTTTAATGCTTCTTATCAAACTCTGCACGGGCAGCATCTTCCCTTTTCCCATTTTGGAATGCATATTTATATAAAAGAATAGGCCAGATTTAAACAGAGCAGCAAAGTGAAAATCACCTCTATTCTTGTTTTTCAGTTGGCTTCATAAAAGAGAGTGACATCCAATTGCTTTGCCAATATTAGCCCCTTTTAGGAAAGAAAAAAAAAAGAGGCTGTTGAACTAAAGTCACATCTCATTTTTTAATATTTAAGTAGCCATGCTTCTTCTCCTCATAATGTGTATTTAACTCACAACACTTAATGCTAGATGATTTTATTAAACAAATTAATTTTATTTTCAAGAAAAATTGATTTTGTAAAAATTAAGAATGGTAACTTTCTATAAATGTTAGATGCCAAGGTTAGAACTGCAATAACACAGTGCCATGTTATACTCACAGAACTTTTTCCATACAAGACTCTACAGAAGGTATTACTAAAATGACTTCTAACTGAACGGAGAACACATCTTGGGCCACAGGAATGTTGAGGTTTAAAAACTGAATGTAAAAATGCTTGAGATCATTAGTTAAGCACATGATAATGCACACCTTTTAATTTTTCCACAACAGTCTCACGCCTGATAGTAAGAATACCCAACTTCTAGTGTTGGATTTTTTACACCACAGTGCTCTAGATTTTCATAGTGCCTTTCTGCCATCTCGCTACTATTTATTTATTTTTTTTTAAATAATCTTTTCCTCATTTCAGAAAATGTCCATTCAAATTAAACAGGAAAAAAATGGATACACCATTTAACACTGAAAATAAATAGTTTTCTTTCTCAAGAACTGCAAGGGGTTTCCTATGTTTACAGAGTACTTTGCACAGGGGGGACTGATCCTTGATTAAACCTCCAAAGTAATGTGGTGAGAAAAGAACAACAAAAAAAATCTAGAAATTTTCAACCCATAGGCTTTTTTTCTATTGCAGAAATCCAGCAACAATTTACAAGAATAAATAAAGCTTTTCATAAACAGAAAGCTCACGGTATTTGATTCTAATATACCCTCTGTCTGCTCAGCCAGTGCAGACAAAAGGTTCATCAAGTTCGTATTTTCAAAACTCAAGAATGAGAGGCCATGTGAAAATATAAATGCAGCACAGAACACATGAAAATGGAAGCTTTAATGCATTTAGAATTTTTTCCCCCAAAATACTTCATGAAAAGACTTTGGGTATTACAAAACCCCAAAGAAAAACTTAAAATCCTTCTTCCAATTGTATCAGCACTGTCTAAACAATCATTTGTTAGTTTTCCATTCGTATTAATCTCAATTTACATTCAAATGCATTCTTCAATGTTT